TTGGGTATTGCAAAGGAAAGAAAAACTAGAATACACGAAATTTTTTAAACTGATGGCGACGCTACTTACATTTATGATTTATATAGGGGCTGTATTTCGTGTTTCTTTTATTTGAACCCGAAGTATGTATGTAATGCTTTTCAGTTTTTTCTTTTCGTATCACTCGTGCAAAATACGCACTGAAAGCACAATGTCATCACGAAGCAGCCGATGCAGAATTTAATCAATTTATATAGATTTATGCAAAATCTTTTGTTTATGTAAACGCACAACAGAGACGCAATTATCATACAAAACTTTTTGAGAATAAAGACCCACACAATCAAATCAGAAAATTTCTAGTCTTCTTCTTTCTTGTTTTCTGTACATTTTTGAAAAGAAGTGCGGCAATTTTTATTTATTATTCATTTAGCTCCATGTCGGGGAATATTTTCATGGTAATGGAAACTTACGAATGCAAACATGTATGAAATAGCTTCCATTTCGGGAAAATTTGGTAGTATGGTAGATGTTTTGCATTTATTGAAAAGAACTCTGTGATTTCTGTGCTCTGTCCATTCTCAACAAAAAAGAATTCTTATTAGGAACCGATGTAAAGAGAAAAACCAGATGACAGCAACTCAAAATCATTCCACAATAAGAAGTTTGAGGAAGTGGGTGTTTGCGAAAAAAAAATTTAAAGAGGCAAAAAAAAGAGGTTAGAAGTTAGAAAAAGAAATTTGTTAAACATTTACGGTTTCGCCTTTGAACGGTTCGTATACTTTAGAAAGTTAGATGCGAAAAAATTTCACAAAAAATGTTCTTTCAGTATTTATATTTAAATTTAATGACTTATAATTAATGATTATAAGTTTACGAACGTTGGAATTATGTGTTGATAACTTGCAGCCGGATTTTTTATATGACCATATACTAATAGAGCGGCTAAAATAAATGAACTCGTTTGAGCAACGATTGGTGGCTTCGCAACATATTCTCTTATTCATTTTAATTTCATTCATCTTGAATTTTTCATTGATAGGAGCACAACAGGCGATTTTTTGTGTCGCTGCTACAGCCCGTTCAGTTTCTAGGAGCCGATATGAAAATCATGTTTGAATTGTTATGTTTGAAGCAGATGAGCAAAATCTTCATTTACATAGGAGATGAGCAGGATTGTGTGATTTATTGACATGCAGCTGCTCACCTATATGTGTAAGCAGGATAACCGGCACAAATGGGTGAATAATGAGAACTCAGATCAAGAAATTTTGCAAGAGGAAATTGAACGTAAAAGACATGAAGACTTTCGTTTCCTGGAAGAAGAACAACATTTATTAAAGAAACAGTTGCAACGCACGACATGGTACTTTTATTGTTTTATTATTTAGTTTTTGTAAAATTACTCTCTCAACAAATTAAAATGCATCAAAACTTATGTAATACCGCTACGTACACTTCCATTCTATTGGTCGGTTGATTGGGCTTGCTTACTGCAGACAGTACAAGACAGACTATATAAAATTATTTTGTACATTCCTGACATGAAAATATATTATCTACCCAACAATTCCTTTACTCTAAAATAAATATGGACACCGCGGAAACATCTAAATTCTGCAAAAATTCTTAGCGAAACACAGCACCATTATCCGAGTATAATTTCGTCGAATTCTCCCATTTCAAAACACAAGAGTGTACACAATCGCTAAAAGAAAGTGACAGTCTTAAATCAAATGTAAAAACACATCTAAAAAGGGCTTTCGTTTGACTTTCTTGAACTGAAGACTACGTTGGTCCGAGTTTTTAATATCCAAAGAGATTTGCTATTAACACATTATAAATATTGAAAGGTCAATACAAACGCTATCAAACGCTTAGAAATTGACTTGCGAAGTTTTATGCAAGATATTTTTGTCCTGAAAGCGATGAAAATTCGCACACGTCCAATAGAAGCAATCCATGAAGTGTTCTTCAAGTTGGTCTGTAACATTTATCTGTTCGATAGGTGCAGTCATACTCATCAAATCAGAAGGATTGCAAATTTGATGATATGTAGAAATGAGTTGAAAACTATTTCACCTTGAAGCCACGAAGTTTGTACCGTGAGGATACCCGCAAAGCTACCTGATAAGATCCAAAACTTTTTGATGTATGTCAATATTGGAGTCACTGACTTTTCCCCACAATTGTATGCCGTGAATCCAATAGGGTATTCTTGTGTGAAATGCATTTATATCTTAGTTTAACTTGAGATTCTATATGAATTAGGGTTTTAAGCGAATTTAGCCTTTAGCTTGAATGTCTTAATCTTTGTTCAATAATTAATTTAAATAGAACGCATTCGTTTGGTTGATCGGTCGTATAGTTTGCAGCGTTTCAATAACATATATCTCCCCGTGTGTCTCACGGAACATTGAATACATTGGATTGCAAATGGCTTTAATATAATTTTACAGTAAAAGAAAAAAAAACTAAAGAATCAGTTGGGAAATAATCCGATATATCTATTTACTTTAGTTGTAAACGTCTATTTTATTGCATAATTAGGCAAATATGATGACATTTCCTTATAAATTGTAAGTTGTACACGAGCCATATAAAATAAAAGTGAATACATTTTGCCAACGCCAACTTTGTACAAAACTTTTAATGTTTTAACTTAATTTTCATACTAAGATGCCACTCTTCCAAAATGTACAGAAGCGTTAAGCTTTAACAATCCTGTTAAAAAACCACTATTTTTGCAAAGCTTTTTGTGTGAGTTTGTGTTGTAAAACCGGTACCATGTTTCATATGTGTTTGTTGTTGCAGATTGTAATTTTTGATTACATTTGCCCTGCACGTGCTATTGCTTGCGATTCAAAACCGGTAACAGACAAAGAGGACGATTGCGTTTAGTAAATATGAAATTCTCTATTGTTATCCCTTTCATGCATGTTTGTTTCATTCAAGTTAAGCAAAAATGGAAGTTAAGGAAAAATGTTGTTAAATTTGAAAAACAGTACACATTTTTTTCTTCTTTTGAATTGGTCCAACATGCTCCTTTCTCCTGCTGCTCACATTGACAAAATTGCCCAACAATGTTTTCAACTCATTGACGTATTAAAATCGATTTGTGGTGTTTTTTGGGGCTCCGACCATTATTGTATGATTAAACTGTTTAGTGAAGCCAAAATTAGAGTACGCTTGTCCGCTCTTATTGGACATTTCAACTAGAGACCTGAAATTACGTAGAATGCCATGAAATTGGGTTTGTCTGGGACAGATGGCAAATGTTATGCCTCTATAAGAAAGATTTCGTTTACTAGCCAATTTTTCATCTAATAAAATTCTATCTTTCGAGAATCATTCTGCCCTACCTTTCATTTATGATTTTATATTACTTAATTTCTCTTCTTCCTTCTTTAAAATTTTTGCTGACAAAATTAATAATTTTAACATCCTGAACTGATGCATGTAGCTTATTCAAAACTCCTTTTGGTTCTCTATATATAGTCTTACTAGCGAGGAAATTTACAGTTATTACGGCAGAAATCACCGCTGCTGGAACTTGGTCACTACCAAATGGAATTATTTTTCATTCATCTTCACAGATGGACCTAAGACTGATGTTGCAAGTGATGGTCATTGGTTTCCAAGTGGTATTATTATAATTATTATTATTATTATTAATTTCGCCAGAGAAATAAATTCTAAGACTAAACCCTTAAAGCACTAGCGTCTGAGGCCATCGGCTTTTATTAAAAACTCTACCGAACTTGAGATTCGAACCCACGACCATTGAGTTGCTAGTCGAGACTACTCGCCTTAGGCCATTCAGGCGGATTTCAAATGTTAGTATAGAAGCATGAATGTCTTGCGATTCTGGAAGCCACCCACTTAGCAAGTACTCATCCTCAAAGGAATTCCTTATACTGTCAGACAGTAAATCTGTCTTATCCGCTTTGCATAGGTAAAACCTAACTTTACTTATTACAAATTAGATCTCTACTTGATAGCTTGAAATCTAATACATTTTGTTTTAATTTTATCTAGGTGTCTAGTCATATTGGCATTCTTGGCAACACCGCTCCAGATAAAATTGGCATCAGCAGTGGAATAATTCACCTTATGGTCGTCACTTATACACTTTATTTCCACAAATCAATAAAGCTCCTTGATTTATTAATTGCGTATTTAGACGTGACATTATTTGTCTTATTAACAGGTTGATTGTAATGATCTTTTATTGAATATTAACGAAGTGGATAGCTTTTATGTACATGTGGAGTCTTCCTATCTCCTGATCATTTCCTATTTGTTTGTCCGAATGTTGCCAATTCTATTCGCGATTCTACTTCGCAAATTGGATATATGTGATCTTCATGACGGCAGCATTCTTGACATATTAGTTTCTCACAGTTTGATGGCTTCGCAATCTTTCCCTTTTTCAAATTACGTCGTCGAGATATAATTTGGGTTTACAGTCAAATTACGAACCTAGTCGATTTTACACTTTTTTACTCTCGTGCTTATCAATTCTTTCATATGGCACTTTATACTCATGTACTACATTATTTCTTACACAACGAAATTTGCTCCTCGCTGTTCTGCTCTATTCTACATGGTGGACGAGTAATATGCATATTTTAATAAAAATTAAAAAAAAATTATGTGGCAGACATATCAAAGGCAAAATTGAAAAGACTTTAATCAAATAAACATTAAAACAAATAAGTATTAATATTGTATATCTAACCTAACCCCAACTTTACGAAAACTCAAACAAAGAACTCTGTGTTCACATTGCATCTTTTTTACACAACTCAGCGAATTTACGCTTGATGATTTGCTGAGTAGAAAAGAAGAAGAAGAAAACTAACCAATACTCTAAACAAGTTATTAACTTTTTTAAGGCTGGGGCAAAATATTTCGTATTCTCAAGAAGATTCTTTCTATTCGATCCCGGCGGATCATATGTTGTTGATTGACGAACACTTAAGAAGAAGAACAAATAAATAACGTAAACAGCTGTTAGTTAGAGATAAAAACGCGCAAAATTTGTTGTCTCATTAAACAAAAATTTTGGATTTATAAGTAACATATTTATTGGCTTGGTCCATCTTAACTCAACATCTCAAAAAAAAAAAAAAAAACAAGAACAAGAAACGCGTTTATGTATGAATAACACAATACGTTTTTATATATTTTGTCGTCTACTTGTGTTAAGGGTTTTTTTCTAAATATGACACAATATTATGATAAAAACGTAGTAAGTATTAAAAAATTTGAATATTCTCACTTATCTACATGTTTGCACATTATGGCAGAATCGTGTTCTGGAGTTGCTGAACTATCCGATATTAGAACGTTGCAATGAATTGAAAATTCTATTTAATGAGTGTAATATCCACGAATTGCAAGATATATTTCCTAACGTAGTCCAGTCTGTTTTTGGTATAGGAAATCGCGGCATTGGTTGGGGTTTAAGAACAACCACCAAAAAGAATGCGCCACAGTTTTTTGATACATTATTCGAATTCTTCGCTCCTATGGGACCAATATTTCAAATATGCTATCGTTTGCTAAACGATGCTATAAAATTTGAAATAAATTTAGATCAATTACCGGTAAGTAAAGCTTTTTAGAACCAGGTTTTTTTTAATATTTATTATCTTTTATGCAGCATAAAATAAACGAGATGATACAGACTGGCCAGTATTCCATATTCTACGCAGATCTGTTCAATGTTGATACTTTTCGTAGGCAAGTGATATCATTGTCTCTGAACGCATTCGATTATTACATATTGCATTTTTGTATATACGCTACATTTCCATTGCATAAAATGTATCCGGCAGCTCTACAAGTCCACAATGAGCATATGAAGACTGTGTATTTTTTCCTAACAGCTGAATACTTATGTAATTTTTTACCTTGCCGGCCGGATTCGGTTGTTATGCCGCCGAATATATGCCCCACTGTGAAAGCGCCGCAACCTATGCCAATACAACCGCTGCAACCAAAACGTTCACCAAAATATTTGAAAATTCCTAGCGCTAGCGTTTACGATGCGAGTAGCAGTAATACACAATTTATACGTAACACAGTTTCACCAAGGGTGCATGCTTGGCGAACAGAGTCTGTGCTACACTTCTTTATTGATACATGGTTACGTTATGACGTTGATGAAACAAGGGTAAAACAACAATTATCTTACAATTTTTATATTGAACGATAACTCTTTTTGCTTATATTTGAGCTGCTTTAATGCGCACACGCCCATTGTCTCTTTGATGTGTTTGTGGTTAAGGATTTATTATAGATAGTATTTGAAATGGCAATTTCAATGTTTTTGAACAGTATATTAGTACCAAGCACAGAAAGTTTTCACTCAAAGGTAAAGTTGTGCTATTATTATTTGAAACATCGTTCGCACTATGGACACGTCTGTGTTCGTATATCCGTTTTCGAAGGCTAAGACCAATTCAAGGATGTAAATTTGTTTCAAATCTTGACTTTATTCTTATAACAACAATTTGATTCCTATGTTAACAATTTGGGCACACTTTGACTTTCAAATAGCCCTGCAGTCATATTCCTAAAGTCAGATTCGAATCAGGTGAAAATCGTAATAACAAACAAGTAAGGAAATTAAATCCGGTCGGGACCGAACCTTTAGTCTTGGAGCGCGTGCAGTTGAGTTCTCCTATTTTCAAAATAAGAGCTATTGTCGCGGAGGAGGGGCGTGTCTTTTGAAAAATTTACTTCAATTGCCAATTCTTTTGCAAATTTTTAAGCGATATCTTCATTTTTGCTAATGGGAGAATGTTTACCACAAATACTATAAAGTTACGCAGGCAGACAGATGGGCAGACAAACAGGCGAACAAGTTTAATTGCAGTGAAGGATTGTAACTGGCCAAAAATTTGTATATGGGGGTTTTTGGGGTTGTTTCTGCGTGTTATAAAGGTATATTGAAAAAACAATTAAAGTTTGATATTGGGTAGGCGCGGTCAATTTTTCCATTTTTGTACACAGATGCTACGGAATCGCCCATAGAATATGCGTTCAAATTTTTGTAGATTTATTTGCTATGGTTTGTGAGCATTGAGCAAAAAACCAATTTTTCATTCGCTTTGAAAAACAGAAGAATCCTCAATCTACTTGGTGCTGTGGGCGTGTCTTTTGACCGATTTCGGCCATTTTCAATACCGACCCGCGCGCAAGAACTTCCAATGTTTTTGCAAATTTGAAATCGAAAGGTTCATTTTTGCAGTCAGGAGAATGTTTGCAACAGACTTTACACAGACGGACATGCTTAAGTCGATTTAGAATTTGGTACTGATCAAGAATATACATACTGTGTGGGGTCTCTAAAGATTCCTTATGGGTGTCACAAATGTTTCGACAAAATGAGCGTGCCCCTCATCCTTTGATGGTGGGTATAAAAATATGCCATAAAAAATGTTCAAGGCTCTCAATCGCACATTTCTTAAATTTGCTGCTGCCTAAGTGAATCAAAGATATTATTTTAGAATTTTTTCGAGTTATGCACCTACAATCTTTACCTACTTTGAACAAGACATAGTAGATCACGATCGATAGTAAAATTCGCAGTGGCGCTAGTTTCTTGGATACGAACAGGCTAAGGGAACGTAGATATCTTCTGCTCTTGTTTGAGAACGACGTGTATGTCGACTGAAATGAATGAATATTTCTTGAAACGCAGTATTTCAAAGAGAGCGAGTTTTTAAAGTTTCATTAAAACATTCTCAAGGAAGACATAATAGCTAGTGTTGATCGGGCTAGGCGTGATTGAGAAAAATTGAGGGCACATATTATTGGAAACATTCATAGGATATATATCAATACATATATACAATATACATATTTGTTCATACCTCTATGCTTCTATCTACTCTTTAGGATTTACCCAGTAGTGAGTTTATACGAGTGGTACGAATTCTTATTAAACAGACTCATTCGTTTGCGAACTCGGCTTATATTGATGAAACACCTATGGTTACTTTACGTAAGCTTGCTCAACCTATGATGAGAGTACCATTTTATCCGTTCCTAAAAAGTACAATGGGACGTTGGCCTTTGGATAGCTCATTTTCGGTGGTGTTGGAGTTATGGTTGAGCTATATTCAGCCGTGGCGTTACGGCTTTGATTGGCAGTTACAAAAATCAAATGAAAACAATATAGAATTCTCATCAGATAATCGATACCAAACCTTCATACTCGATAATCTGATTATCTATACACAAATATTTGTGCATATATTGCCCCGTTTTGAACGACTAGACTTCACTTCATTGCCTAATGTCATTATGTTGCACCGTTTGGTGAAGGTTAGTAAGGTAGAAAGAAATATAAAAAAAGTGACTTTTCTTATATATTCTTATATGGATCCTTTACGAATGTTTCAGGTGTTCAATCAAACTGGATTGCCAGCGAAATTATTACAAGCCGAGCAGTCTTTTGGAGGAAATTATTTAAAATATGATTCTCCTCGAAAACAAAACACGTTTTTATGGTAGGTTTCTATAAGTTCTGTCAATGAATGGTAATTAATTTATTTCCTTGTAGTGCTGCTAATTCTACGGGCTCCTACGAATGGGACAATCTACATTATGACGATGGGTATACACCTATGTTCGGTGATGCCATGCAAAATACGATAACGAAATTTCTCAAAACAATATGCATAGCTCGGGATCAAGTTATAAAGGAAATAATTGCGAAGACGGAAGAAAATGAGGAACGTTATAAATCATTTGGTATTTTTAAAAGGATTTTTAATAAAATTTTTGAAGAAATGTCGTGCGATGTACAAAAAATGAAAGAGTGTAATAAAATACCGGACATACTGGAATCGGCTATGAACACCCTTGGCGGAATGTTTAACGTATGTTTAAATGGACTTTGTGAAAATGTATAAGTATGACTGACATCTAAAAACTCGTCCTAAAGGTAGATGTTCCTGATATATCAGGGGAAGAAATCGATACATCGTCGCCAAATTGTACTCAGGCTAACTTTTCTTTGTACGACGATAGTAATTACTTGGATGTCTCACATATATCGCCGTTTCAGATGATGAACAACTTAGCCAATATTAAGGCTTCAGTTGATCCCGCTTTGCTACCCATACAAACATATGAATGCGCTTTTTTAGTACGTTTGCTGCATCGTTTGTCTTGCAAAATGAACGAAAAAGTAAGAAAGTCTTTAATGGTTCTTTACACACTCTCTTATTCAGCTATAATTAATTAGTTATCGCATTCTTTTTTTAGCACTTAGAAAATGCATCAGTGATCCGATATATAGGTGTACATGGTGTATATCTGTATATAGGTGTATAGGTGTATATCTAAGTTCATTATTTATATTATTGAATCCCTTTGCCGACTTGTCTTCTGACTGTTAATGTTCTCAAAGTTGTTAATTTTGAACCTACTACTTGTACATTTTTAATTGAATATCAAATTTTTTCCGTGACAAATGCCTGTGTACGACTCGCATGCCTGCAGTAGCTACGAATTTGAAATAATTACGAAATATAGATAGTCTTTTAAAATCTTTTTTTCAAGAAATTCTGTCACTTTATCGAAGATTGACACACATATATATGAGAAACAATTAAAAGTGCTAAGAAAATAGGCTTGAGGGGCTAACCAATATATACGTTGAATTTTCATATGGTTATTTGCAGATTTTGAAGGCAGAGATTTTTCGTAGAGTGAATATCAATGTTCACCTGTCCTAGCTGACAGAATTTGAAAGATCTCAATAACTATGTAAAACAAGTTTAAGCTTTAGAAGGGTTTCAAACCATGAACTGAGGTACAGTTTGGAAAAGTGTGTTTAGTGTTAGAACGTAATGGCCTTGATTTAGTTCCTGACATTTCTTTCAAGACCTTTTCTTTAATGTGACTTGTTTCGTGCTGAGTTTAACCAAATACAAAAGATCTCAAAAATATTAAATGTGTGAATAAGTTTGTAAGTTATGAGTTAGAAGTTGATTAGACCACCATTCGTTGCCTACCACTCTTATTGTTTAAAAAACGATAAAACAAAAAGTCGGGATTTGCGTTTATATATCTAATTCAGGTTGACAGACCAAAGTCTGCTGACCTAAGGCAAGAAAGAGACTGTGAGTTAAAACTTACAACGATTATTGATTTGAAATTCGCTAAAAATATTTATCAAGAAAGCTGCGGTGCAAGAACGGGATGCTTAAATGACAAACAACCGCATAAGAAGTAAACATAAAAGTTATTTATAATGCACATCCGAGTTGATCTAAAAGTTGGTACATGTACTTCACTGTCTTTGTAATTAAATAAGATTGTCTCTTTTATTAGGCTTAAGGTTATAGACAATGTACCGAAATGGTGCAAATATTAGGAATGAAATTCTCTTCAATCTGATTGATTCTCCAAACATCATTGATAAAAAAAAGCAAAATATTTAATTTGAGCTTAATCTGTTAGTGCTCCTTGTTACATAAGGAAGGGCCACTCGATTGTAGTTACTTGCATAAACTAAAATTCTTGTTGCCGCATTAATATACATGGTTTTATTGGTCAAGCTAAGGTCAGTTTAACTCACCCAGTGTTTGGGAGGTTTGATGTCGAGAAAAGCGTAAAGTTATCGGATAGGCCACGCTTTTTAATTTTCCAATTTAACCTTGTCGACTAAATTTCATTTCCCACAGGAACTTTAGAAGTCGAAATCGATATTTAAGGGGACAGACGGACTGCAGCAAACAAGCAGATATATATTGCTATCTTACAAGTATTTCACATAGTACTCTACGATTCGTACAAAGAGAAAGCGATTTGCATATGTTTATCTTAAGTAGGCATATAAGCAGTTTTATATATTTATCTATATAAATATGTATATGCATGTATATTCTTGTTGCTTTGGCAGTGTTTTAAAATATTTATTACAAATTATTAGTTTCATCAAGAAATAGAAGCGCTTTGGTATCGATCTGACATAAAAGGAAAGCTGGCACGTCGAATATTTTATGGTCCAATGACGGCACAATGGTTCGATAAACCTTACGGTAAGCTGTATAGCAAACCATTCAAAATTTCAATGATCACTTCTTTTGTGGGCTCAATTTTTCCTCTAGGAGAAAGTGCTTTGTGCGAACAACAGTTACCACCCCGCTTAAGCCTGCGCTACTTTGCTTCTTACCAATGCTTGTTTTTCGTGGCAATATTCTGTATAATTGGCTATATTAAGTGCCATACCGTCATTATTGGTGTAATTACAGCTATAATGGTTTTGTTGACCTTCTTATATATGTGTTCTTTCTGATAATTGCTGTCTTGTGTTTATTAATCATTTGGTTTGTAATAAAAACACAGTAAAAGGTAAATCATTTACCTATTTGTAGTTATTAATTAAACTACCTGTTTTAAGACGTAATGACGTTCTAGCAGCGTTTTATGGCACTCGTTTTCGGATGGAAGGAAAAGTCATAGAATAATAATATTTGAGTAAGTTAATAAGCATACGTTTAAGCACTAAAAAAAATAACTTTCGCAAAATATTAAAAACTGGTAGCACCAGGGCCATTCTCGAGAAACATCTTTAATTTAGATGACAACTGATGCCAATTTGAGTTTAGAAGAAACGAAAACATCAGACTACAGGGCCATGCATCCAGCAGCCAAAAGTCACACGCCAACAAGCGTTTAACGTCAAAAATTTTCATTTTTTATTGGACTTTAACAATACCAATAGATAAATTAACTTTCTGGGATTAGCGAGTATATGAATAAAAATTTCCAATTTTCGTTTAATAATAAATAATCTTAATCCAAGTTCCCTAACTACCTTTTTGACATTCGCAATTCAAGTCCGTTAGCGTCAATTAAGAATATGTCTGCATTGTCCTCGTGATCGTGAAATTAACAACCACAGATGCATAGACGGATAAACAGGAATGAATCAACTTAAGAATATGCATACTTTACCGCTTTAATAGGATGGACATATCTAATGTTAATTGATCCTTCGAACGATCGATCGATATGAAAAAGAAATACTATATATGACTTGGACCTACTCAATTGACATCCATAATATTTATGAAGGCAGATAATTTCTGTTCAATCTGCGTAAATTTAAGAGGATCAATGAAATGAATGTTGATATGTATTCACGCATATATTTCACACATAAATTATATATATATATATATCTGCATATTGTCGTCTATGTTTGGATATATAGGGACCAAGGATTATTAGTATTGCAAATAACTATGTAATAATTGAACTAGATCTTGAGTGGCATTGGGTACGAAGTTGTTATGAACTAAGAATCATGAGACATTAACAACATTGCAATCGTACAGAACCGATCATTGGATACGCTACACCACTTCTTACAAAACAATACAGGCCTTCATTCATTTGCGTGGTAAAGTCCCGAAAATTGTAATTTACTTCCTTCCAAAGTCATCCAATTTCATAGCAACCCTATTATAGAAGAGGGCTAAAAGCGTAAACTGGCGCGGTCTACATTTAACAAAATTAACCTTCTTGCCAAAGGCCTTCGTATTTTTCATTTATTTTCTTCGCAAAGTTGTAAAAGTTGGGGAATGTTGTCATACAAAGAAGTAGTTTTCATTAGTGTCCATGCAGGCGGTAAGGTCCGTAAAATATGCTTACATAATCCGAACAGTCAATATTTATATCAAGCCATTATTATGGACTAATTCTCACTGTAAAATATTAAAATGTCTTGTAAAGGCTTAGTTTGTAAGAATATTTATGTAGGAATGGTTTCCAAGGGCCCATCAATTTGATAAGCTGACACGTTATTACTCAGCGACTATTGTCAAAAAATTTTAAACATTTCACTTTTTGCAATCCGTACAACTTTTCATATGAACGGTTCGATCCAACCCAATTTCAGTACGACTCGAACCTGGGCCAAAACATGCCAGTACTACGAATTTGGTTAAAATATTTCAAAAATTGCGGCCTGTAGAGTGAGCACAAAAATACATCGACAGATCTTAGATGCACAGACCGGCAGATATGCTTTATTCATTTCAGAAAACGATGCTTGATCGATTGGTGTAATGAAAGGCGCTCATATGGCAAGTCTAAAATGTCAACTTACGTTATCAAAATTTATCAGACCTAATTTATTTCTTAGACACTTTATTATTTTTCATAAAAAACTACAAATTACTCGTTTCGCATGAGTTAACAAAATTACACGAAAGGGTAATGACCGATATTTACAAAGTCATTTAACCAAATATCAGATGCATCTCACTTGCATGAAATGTACAACTTTCATTGCTTTCATTGTTTTCATAATACTCTTAACAATTTCCGTACGCTGTACAACTTTGTATGTATTGTATTCCACAAATAATGACAAGGCCAAAAAAATATAGTGAAAAAACTGTTGGTCCAAATCTCAATCAAAATTGTGTTTTATTTACGTTTAGTTTAGGAGTCACAAAATGAGTGACCCTATGTTTATCATAAGAAATTCATTGAAAAAATATAAGGGCTACTATTGAATATAGTGAAATTTAAAAATATTATTTACTAATTGCAAATATTTTTCTTACATCAGCTATATCATATCCGTTCTCGGAAGTGCCCGTCTTGAAATCCCATTCGTATAAAGAGTCTAATTTTTGTGACTTCTGCGGAGAAATACTGTTTGGTTTAGTTAGATAAGGTATTAAATGTCACGGTAAGTTTGAATCACACAACTCCTATATAAATTTTCATACCAAATGAAATATTGTTGTTTCCCATTCGTGTCGTCAAATATTGTGACAATTCAATTCTTCCTCTTGCTCACACAAATTCGGATCGTCAAATATTGTGAAAACTCCTGTTATTGCGCCACATTGAAGCTTACGAAAAACCTTCCCGTCAATAGCACTAGAATATGCAGTCTTTATATGTACCATTCCGAGGTCTAATCGCGCCTTTACCCTCATTAGTAAAATATGGACGGATTGACAACACAAGTCTTCATTGGAACGTGTTCATTACATAGCACGGACAAATGCGAAAGTATAAAGGATAATTTATCATTAATATCCGACAAAAACAGACATTGGAGGAAGAATTAACTAATCGCTCCATACTAATCGACTTAATGTCTCTGTAACTAGAAGCTGTCCGTCTTTCATTCTCGCAATAAAACTGTATATTGAAGACTAAGAATACAAACTCGTGATCAGATTTTCCACCTAGCAGGAATTGATCGTAGTGAGCAACGGAAGTGGTGTCAGAGATCAAAGAGAGCCGGCTTACAACTGGGGGCATAACGTGTAGGTCATGAATTTATTAATCCTAGCCCAGTAGACGTTATCAAGCCGATGATGAGATTGACTTAGACGCTTTAAGAATAGTGATTTTGATGTTGGAAAGGAAGCTAGTTATTCTCAGAGACTCGGAATCGGAGGTATGACAGATGTTAGGGAATTATTGGCGGGAGTCTTAAGACATTTGAAACCATTGGGGATGATTTAAAAGCATTGACATTTGGTGTCGCACTAATTGAACGCTTGAGGCGTTGCCACAAGATGGTAAAGAGTAATGGCTAGCGACCAGCTTTCAATGACAGTCTTTTCCAAAATTTGCTAAATATAACAACAGATTTTACGGTAGAACAACGTTCTTTGTAATAATTATTTTATAGATATTTCTTAAAAAGGTTTAAAAGAGACTTTCTTCCTTGTACCGAAAAATTCAGGACACGCTTTGAATCAATTTAACCGTTTCTCTCCTAATGTAAAGTGTCTGTCCATTTATTTTGTTACGGAAGTGTGAAATTTGGAACACAGACGAGTTTTGGGCCAAGAATTAAACCAATTGAAAATTAATTGAATTTTGAAATTGAAATTTCTAAAATTTATACCGAATAATGCACAAAACCTCTCGTTCATTTTTTATTTAATTACCCAATAACGTATCTCTCCGACCGGGTATTGTTAGTTCGTCATGACTACAACAGCTCAAACGTCCTCCATATAATTAATTCAGCGACGAAAGTAGTTGATGAGTTTCTCATGAAAATAGTGCTTACAGGAAGCCGTAAGTTTTACCATTTTGTATTGATGTAAGCCATTACAAATGTTGTGTGTACATATATTTCTTCATGTAAACAATGGACTAGCTTTCGTCATAGATTTATTAGATTAATATTTGGTTAAATAAATTAAAAATAATATCTAATTAAAGCATACCAAAATATTAAATAGTAGAGGATAAATCTGTTAATATTAAAAGAAAGGCAATATAAACATTGCCGCCCGCCATATTTAAAACACTTTTATATTTTTACTTACATACAAGGTTCGTAGACTGCAACTTTTGTCCCCCAACTCGCTGAGGAAGCTACTTAGCAATGATAGTCTGCTGCGTCCGTTTGTCGAAAAAGCTGAGAAGTATAAGTTTGATAAACGTATCCTTAGTTGAAAATCATATGATAAATTTGAAAACAGGACGCCACACGTCTCTGATCGGAAAAAATATTAAAACTTACAATCTACGGCATATATATTAATACCAACATTTCCCAGAGACCGTGACAAAGCCTAACCCTCAGGCTAAAAAGCTTTTCATCCCTATCATCTAACGTGTAAATATCACGTCTTCAGTCTTTCGGCTCACAATTTTTGGTTTTAAATAAAAATCTTTGTGCAAACATGCCAGAAACCCTTTGCAGCACGATCTGCTACCGCAAAATTCATGAAATTTTATTGTGCACATGTTAGAGGCCATGTACCTTAGGGAATTTCGATTATGCTAGTTTCTTTAGCTATCACAATTTTTGCGTTTTTAGATAAGCAAACGAGGTTTATTTTTTAGGCGTGCTGCTTAAGTATAACACCAAACGATTTTCTTCTATTTTCGTTAAGATCATATCAGTATGTATTGCTTCATATGGCTACTATTTCCAATATTAATTCAACTTGAAATTGAAAAAAACGTTGTTTACTTGTTCGTCGTAATAAACGTTTACTTTTTTTATTTTTTACGAAAACTAAACGATAAAAGAGATCAACATGATTTTCCTTGTTATAGAAATTGACCTCTGACCGCCTCTGGACTCTTGGAAAAATTCAATTCCAAAGCACAAATTTTTTTCCAGCTGTCTCTATAGATCTGCTCTTATTGCATCAATAATACAACGAACAGTCTTGATGAGATAGGTCATTGAGAGATCGTGGTATATCGGAGTAACCCCATTCTCTAACATAACCCCGCAATAAAAACTCCAATAGAATTATATCGCAAGATCTTTCCGGCAAACGCCCACAGGCATTCTTCGAGATTACACGATCATTGTTAAATCATTTAGTTAAAACCACATATTGTCCAAGTAGAAATCATTCAATTTTTGCCACAAAAAATCACTTAATATATTTTCTTCATTCATGGTAAAAAAAGTTATTCTCGTACACGTAAAAGATATCAAAAATTGGGCTTTTTTTGTAATATAAAGGCTTGTTTTTCAGAAGAACCTTCACGAATTCGGTAAGATTAAGTTTTGTAGTTTTGTGCTTTACCACGAACTATTAAAAATAAGACCTTTTTACCATATTCAGGGTTCGTAAGAACGACGAGTTAATCAGCCATTTTTGTTGAGAACTTTTCTAAATTGGGACTTTTTTTCAGAATAAGGCCACAATATTGCCATCCACCTATTTCGTCTATAGTAGCACGGTAGAACAGATTTCAATAACTTACGAGTTATCTTAGACGCACATTCAACGCATGTATGCAGACCTTCGATATTAAGAACCCCAATCGCTTCTTGACTTTTCAAAAAAGCAATAGTCCAAAGGAATCTGTGGCCCGCATATTGTTGAAGGCTTCTGTATTAGTTTTGTAAGGCGAATATTAGAGAATGCTGTGATGGCCTGGACAATCAGTTCGAAATGTGTGCATTGACTTAAGTGAATCGACGCGGCGAAGTTTTTCACACGGCGCTCTACGCAGTCCAGATACTCGCCTTTACAACTTTCCGCTTATGAAAACGCGTGATGTTCTTAATTAGTGTTCACTGTAAAAGTAATAAAAAGCGTATTTCCCTCTCCATTCCTCCATTCCTGCTTCGGTGAATATTTAACATGTTTTTAGCGTTTCCGAGGCATTGTGGAACGATTTATTCCAAATAAAGCAAATCTTAATTTAATATTTTCGAAGACCTCACGACTTTAGAATATATGCAATATTGTTTGCCGCAAATTTAGGTTATATGGGTTTTCAAATAATTTTCTGGGGAAGGAAATTGAGTCGTTTGCTTCTAGCTGGATGAATTTGCAGTAAAAGTGAATTCCTGAGAACATTCCTTTTGTTTAAAGTTTGTAAATGCGTGAAGTGATTTTGTTGTGTCAATGTTATTAAATTTTCTTATTTGTACAAATGAAATTAAAATCTCTTTCTTTAATTAGTAAAGAAAATACAATTTTGAAAACAATCTCCCATTCAAACAAAACAATTGTGGACAAATTCTCATTATAAAGCACATTGTCTGTAACTGCCTTAACTTTACCTTGGCTCGAAGTATTGCATTTGGAACGATTAACCCTATTGACATTCTACAATCAGCTACAAAACAGAATATCAATACAATATGTAACTTTATCAAAACTACTAGGCTCAATATCTAATGCACTTTTATAAATTAGAGCCGATGGCCTGTGTTGCTAGTGCTCAATGTCTACCTTTTTTAGTCTACGAATTTATTTCATTAGTCTAAAATTATAATAATAATAATAATAATAATAAAAAACAAAACAAGTAAGAAGATTATATTCAGTTGTGATTGAATCTTTTATAGCCATCACCGTGATCCTAAAAAGTGGGAAAGGGACTACATTTTCTTAATCTACAATATTGGGTGGGTGCAGTTGATTTTTTCTATTCTTAGAATAAAGGACGAAATACACATAGTATACTTTAGAAGTAACAAGCAAAAAACACGGAAAACAAAAGTGTTCACAGTATTTGGTACATAGACTAACGGGCATTGTAATCGTATTCCTTGTAGAGATTGGGTCGGTTTCAAACCCTTTTGCAAGTTGATAAGCGATATCTTCATTTTTGTAAACGGGAAAACGATTACCACGGTTGCTACACACACTACACAGTTGCCTTGTACTTTCTGACCTTATGACGGAGCAGGCAGACAGACAAAAATGCTTAAGTCGACTTGGAATTAGATACAGACCAAAAAATTTATATACTTTCTGTTGTCTCTGAAGCTTCCTTCGTTCGACGCGGGTTAAAAAATTCTTATAATATACACCACTTGTAGTACAGCGTATATTAGGATGTGCGGACGTTTTCCTTGCAATTGTTACAGAAAATTCAATTTTCAAAACATACAAATATTCAAAACATTTGTGCTATTTTCTAACATTTCTATTTACATCCTTCATATTTTTTCGTACGTGGGTTTTTGATAATTTTGGCCAGTCCCCTCCCCCGGTTTAGCTAAGATTTCAATTTCACGAGGATATCAATAAACAAGTAAAAATCTATGTGCGGCTGGGGCCGAATCTTGTATAGCCATCATCATTCCAAAATCTTTGCTTCTATTTATGGTTATAAAAATTAATCTACCACGCCGTGACGTCAACCACAATTAATTTAACTTAACTTTTTGCATTCTACTCTCCAAATGATTTTATTTGATTTCCACTCATTAAAAAATCAAGTTAGTCGAAATTAGAATTTGTAGGTGAGTTCGTAACAGGTGTGCAAATTAATTTTGGCCATTTTTTGACAAAATTCAACTTTATTTGATTTTATGATTCCTTCATTACTTATTGTCATTGGGCAGGTTCCAGTTAAGTTAGTGGAAGAAACTTCGAAATTTCGAAATGAAACAGTCATTTTCGCACGCTTTTAGCTTTGCAGAGCTACTGATATATGGCTGCATCGATCTGACCCAGTGCTAATCAAACGCAGACAAATCTGAAAAATAAGCAGCAGTGATGATGCCCACAACCAAGTTAAAGACCACCTCATAACACAAAATTTTTTACACGAAATCTCGTGAACCACTTCCTAAATGTTTGGTAGCTAATTGGGTATTTGCTCTAAGCCAACTTTATCATTTCTGTAGCTTCAACAGCATTTGTTTCCAGTTTAATCAGGCAACCCAGTGCCGTAATTAAACGTCCGTTTTTTTACACTTTAAACGTCAGCTTATAAGCACTTGAAACTCATCCCTAAACCACTAATATCTAAGTTATCTATATCGCAAATTTTGAGAAAATTGGACGGGTGAGGGGCGTTTTATGAAACAGCCATGGGACAGAGTTCATTTGCGCATTTATTATTGATTATATATTAAGATTTTTATTGGAAAAATCATATTATTATATATTCTCCGATATTGGTTAGATGTAAAGGGGAAAGCGGCACATCGAACACTTTATTATATAGTGACAACGCAGTATTTCGGTAGAACTTACGATAATTCTCTGTAGTATCTAATTCAAAATTTTGATCATTAATTCTTTCTTAGGTTAAATTTTTCGTCAGAAGAAAGCGGGTTGCGCGAGAAACGTTTACTATCCCTTCGTACGTTAGTTGGTTTCTTACCACTGGTTGACTTTCCTGGCACTGTCTTGTGCAATCGGTTATATTAAATGGGATACTATTACTATAATCGATATCCACATGACAGTTTTTCGAGTTTGTTGTATTCTATGTATTCCTTCTAGTAATCACTTTGTTGTGCCAATCATCTCATGTACAATAAAATCACATTATAGTCAAATGGTTTGCGTTTATTTTTAGTTATCAATTATACTACTGGCTTTAACAGGTCTACAGAGCTTTCTTGGGAAAAAAATATGAAAGCTTTGTTAGGCATGATTACGCATATTTAACAATAATTTTAAAGGTTGATTAGGTACGGTGACCAGCCGTAAAACAGGTTCAATTGGTGTAGAATTTAAACAACTTAAATGAAATGTTTTTACCACCTGCGGATTCAAAGAGTGGAAAAAATTGTTTACACAAGTGAATGTTCATTAAATGAAACCGGTATTTACCTCTTTGATTAAGTGGTGCATTTGACTAATTGCTATTTTGCGACCTATACATGAACGATTGCCAATGGCAAACGGTAGAGTTCCATGGGCTTGTAACACCGACTGCAGTTGACCGGTACTCTCGTTGAATATCCAACGTTCTGGCATAACTGTCAGAGGATCAGGAAAGTGCTTTGAATCGCGACCAGCTGTGTAGAGCGACAGTAAGACCAGTGACTATTTACAAAATTTACAAAAATCTCGAAGTCATAAATGCCAAGTGGAAACAGATAATTTGAAATACTTACTTTTTTCTTAATGTGATAGCCACCAATTAAAACATCACGGGGCATATATCGACCTATAAATGGTGCCACAGGATACAAACGCAAAGTTTCCTTAATAAAACCATGAACTAATGGCGAACTGTAATTATCTAAAGCATAATACTCTTCCAAAAGTTTTTGCGGCAATTCGTGATCTTTCGATAATAAATACAAAGCCCACACGCTGGAAAAAGCAGTCTGAAATCATATAGAGTTAAATAGATTTATCAGTCACATCAGTCATTTATGCCACAAAAATTTGTATGTAAAATCGAAGATGAAAGGTAACCAGGGAAAAGGTTTTGAAGAATTGTTCAATTTTCCTTAAGCGGAACTCCATTTATATGGTTCTTCCGAAAGTGAGCCAATCAAAAAAACGCAAAAAGAAAACTTTTAAATTTTCCTTAAGTCGAACTCCTCTTCTATGGTTTTTCCGAAAGAGAGCCAATAAAAAAATAGCATTCGCCTTGAGGTGAACATTTGGATGAATCTTGATATCAATTCAGTAAATTAAAATTAGAAACAATTTTGCTGGCTGCTGGCGTGCCGGATAGTCTGTCGGCTTGATTTTTAGGTGGTGCAAGTTGCACTGATTTATGTCTAGTTGGTGGATACGTAAACGAATCACGTCCTCCCAGTCGTTTTTAAAGGGTTTCAGACATATGTCAATATACAGAATGCGGCTTGTGTGCATTTCTCTTTAATTTATGAGCGCCGGTCGCCTAAATGTTGGCGTGTAGGCTTTGGTCAAGAAGGAAGGAGGATGGAAAGGGCAGAAAGGATGTAACAGCAGTCGGCGAGATACATATCTGATCGGTAAGTGTTACGTCCTTTTCTGTGGAGCGTTCATTAGAGTTGCAGTCATAATTCAATTATTATTAAACTATGATTTACCGCACAGAAAATTGAAGCCGGATATGCCACTTTTTATACATGCAATAGTAGATTTTTGCCTGCTTTGTTGGGAGACCGCAATCATTTTCGAACTTGATCTGTGACCATCAATTAATAACACATATGCCAAGGAGCACTTCTCAATCCCAGCCTTAGCGATCCTAGGTTTCGCGACAACAGACGGAGAGACAGACGAGCAGACCAGTGCAATTGCAGTCAAGAACAGATATAGTTTGCAGAGCATCTGTTGCGTATATTTGGATTTTAAAACGGAATGGACAAATCTGAATATAAAAAGTAAAAATATATATATATATATATATATATATATATGATATGAACCTAGCCTTTCGACATCCACTATGCTTATCATCGAACCGTGTTGGTCCCATTAATCCCGTTTAATGCGCATCAATTGCAAAGATGCATACATAAAAGTACACGTATACAGTTACCAATAAACCCTCCAATCGATTTTATCTTTGACATACAATTTCAATTTAATTTGATCATTTTTTTACGGATTACGATGGTTTCAGTAACGCTCATTGCGATCTTTTCAAAATAGTTGAAAATCCGAAATACATGCATTGATTAGATGATGTATTTTTTGATAGCGAAAAAGACAGCATTGGCTTAAGAACTCGTGTGGTATTTATTCCTCGTCGACTAAAAAAATGTTTCGATGTTGCGCCAGAAAATATTAAAGGCCTGGACATTATTTTCGATAGTCGATAAGTAAATTTGGAACGGGCAGCTAATATCCTAAAGATATCAAAAGACAGTGTACTCACTATTTGGGTATGAGAACGCTACTTCCAAATAGCCATTGCGGTCACTCAAACTATAATTGATTCGCATTGCTAGAAAGATTGTATAAAGTGAAGTTTGAGTTGCTGCCCCAGCTGCACTATTCTTCAGACTGTTAGCTGTTTGCAAATAACACCACCACGCGCAGTGTGACCTGAAAAATAGATCTATGGAATCCAAATTTCCTGTGGCCAAGGTTTCTGTAAAGTTACTACCATCCTTATCCTTATACGGAATTAGGTTCACAAAATAGATACACATGATTTAAATTTGGTCCAGCTAGCTTTTGCAATAAATTAATATTATTAATAAGTTTCTATCATAAAATATTGACAATTCAATCTTTTTAACATATATGGGTTTATTTTTCATGAGAATCGAAATTCGATGCAGTAAACTTTTGTAGCAAATAACTCCTATGAAGCAGTTTTCATTAGGAATATTTTCAAGTTGAAACTTTTCGACATATGACGATTCCGTTTCCGTAAGAAATATTTTACATCACATCAGAATGCGGAAATATTGCCTTTCAACGTTTTTTGCCGAGGAAATTTGAAACTTGCGTATAACGACTTTTCATTCAATCCAGTTTCAATCGCGCCCGTTTTTGGCGTCAATGTACCAAATTTCATCAAAATATCTTACAAATCGCGAGTTTTAAGTTGAACAAACGAATGCATAAACAAACATCAGTTGTGGGCTCAGTCAGACAGACAAGCTTATATTAACTCAAAATCATTCTCTGTATAATAAAAGGTGAGTTCATCTTAAGTTCATCTTAAGTGTAAGCAAAGATGGATATTATAAATGTTCCATCTTAAGTCCTTCTGAATATTACATGTACCCGCAAAAACCGAATATATCCTTTGTCACAGCTGACGTAAGGTATGAACAGATAGGCAGATAGACAAACATATTTAGTTATGTAGACTCCACAGTTAATTGTCATTAAGAATTTAGGTACTTTATAAGTTCATACTTTTAGGCGTTACAAATTTTTTGGCAAATCTAATATAAAACAAAGTTTGTTTACAGAAAGTAAGGGCTTATCACAGTTTGTTTACAAAATGTCGTTTTGCCGCATATTAAGGATCGATTGCTATTCGAATTTATTAAATTAATAATGACAATTTGTTTGAGAGTATTTGACATAAAAAAAAATCATCTACTGTACAGGAGAGATATTAGTAAATTGTATCATGTCAAGAAATTAAACGATGGAAAACAACTTTTTTGTTGTATTATGGTCGATGAAACAAAACAATTTTTCACGATTAATTGTAACAGATAGATAAGCGTAAAAAATATGAAAAATTTGCGAATGAAAAATAAAATAAATTTTAAGCATTTAAGAGTACAACCATGCACACTGACACACATAAAAGATGAAGATAAAATATAAGAAGAAAAGATGAAGATTTCACTTACGGTATCACCAGCCGCTATCACTAAATCAACAAAGATACGTTTAATAACCAACAATGGCACTTCGGCTTCCTTAAGCTTGGCATATAGTCCATCATCTTCATTTGTTGATTGCTTCATAAATTCATCAATAATATCGTTGCCTTGCTGCAGAACTTTAGTAACATTTGCTTCGAATTCCGACCATAATCGTAAATTTAAAAGTTTCGCCAATTTTGGAGGAAAATTCATTAAAGCTGAACTATTTTCAAATATTTTATGAACAACTTTCGAAAAGTTTTCTAAAGCCAATTGCAGGCTAGCATCATATAAATAGGAATTCCCAAACATTACAGAAATTATTACTATATAGAAAAAAAAAAAAAAAAAACGTAATAAAATATTAATTGAATATTAGTCATCGCCATATCATACACCATCACTTACCATTTATAGACCAACGATACAGTTCATCTTCTAAGTGCTTGACTTCATAGCCGAGGGATGTACGTGACTCACATTCAGTTCGCCACTTGTTAATAAGCTTCTCGGTACAAATTTGTACATTTAAATCGATCCAATTGAAACTGCCGTTCAATAGAAGCCGATTGAGTATGCGACGATTGTGCAACCATTCTTCGCCTTCCCTTTTAAATTCAATCATAAACAAACGTCAGCAATATTTGGGTTGACGAACGATTTAAGCGCGTCATCTTAACACAATTTTTATACCCACCATGCGGAGGCTTGGTGTATACTACTTTTGTTATGATGGTTGTGCGACTTTGAAGTGACGTAGAAAGGCAATTTAGGCATTCTTGTCTGTCTGTCTGTCCGTTAATATTTCAATTTCAAAGTTGTGCAATTTGCATTAGAGCAATGAACTCTGACTTAAGCATTTTTTGTTGACGTTAACGAATCGAAGTTCATTCAACCTCAACACACCCCCAACGCACTCATCACGCAATTAAAAGACTAAAAACAAAACTTAATGGAAATTTAATGGAATATTTAATGCGCTTATATTTTCGCCAATTGTTTTCTATCTAAAAGTCCGCCGCAATGTTGGTTATGATCGCGAAAATATCTTGAGTAAAAATTTTGGTTTTGTTCAACCGCTAATCAACATATTTCGGTTACCTAACACAAGTTGATGGTGAGCTTACGTAGTGATGGTGAAGTCGTGAAAATATTTTGGGTAAAGATTTGATCTTGATTAATCGCTTATTACCTTATTTAGGTTACTTAGCTCAAGTTGATGGTGGGTATACACAATTCGCTCCAAGGCGAATATTGATATTTTTTGTTTTCCTTTTCTTTTTCTTTTTTTTGTTGTTGTTTACTATAGATCAGAAGTACTCACATGAAGAACAATCCCCTCTGACAGTTATAGTGTTTATTATACAAAATCCATGCCTCTGGTAGGGGATGCTCCGGATGTTGACCTTCATGCAAAAATACAGCTCTCATTAGATTTGCAGATGAGACAAAAATAGCATCCTGAGTGCCACCCAGCCGTTCGTGAAATATGCAGCCGTATTGACGGTGACGCTTATCGATGTAGTTGTGCAATCTACATATATATAAATATACGCGTATATATAAGCATATATGTGTAAACAAAACGTAATGTTATGAATGAATGGATAGATAGTTTGGTGATTGACTGAATGCAAAAAGTTGAGCTTGAATTTTAAATAGCCCAATAAATACTAATATCGCTGTCACGCACACACCTACCCACACAACAATTTATACGTAAACAAGTGTTGTGATCAACCTAGCACCTTAATATACTATAATTTTATTGCCAATGTTTTTCATTGTAGATAAAAAGAAAAAAAGCAAAAGACAAGGAAAAAATTATATACGACTTTGACAGAATCATTATTGCCCACTACATACCTAATGACCTAAATTTTTTAAAAAATTCAAGTATATCCTTTGACAATATTTTAAGATATCTGAACATGGTAATCTTGCAAATGGATTAACGTCAATCAAACATAAACTTTACGGGTTCTATTAAAAAATACATTATGCATTTCGCTAAAGTTTACCGTAGTGTTGCACTTCCTGTGGTTATTTTGTACGTGTACATGCAAATAAATTCGCCGCGGTTATCTTCTTTGTAGAATAGCAAACAGCATGACATTAATTTTAGATATTTAATTAATGGTTTGGAATAGAAACGCTGCATGTTTGTTCGTTCTCAAGCAAAGAATAAGCGAACGGACAGATATCATACCTAACTTTAGTACTTTGTATGAAATATAGATACGATAAATGCATCTTAAAGTGAATGATATATGAAGAGACATGGAAATACGCATTTCGTTTTATTATGCTTCCGTTTTACTCTTATTGTAATTGCAGGTACATGCATTAACTGCAAAATTACGCTGTAACAATATTTTACTTGCAAATAAAAGACAGGCCGTCTTACGCTCGTGTAGGTATGTGTTTTAATTGTAAGTTCTTGTATGTGGACGCACGCAAAGAAAGGACAGAGGTGCAGACATATAAATAAACATAGTTTTAACGCAAAGTAATTTCAATTTATCACTGTTGCACATACCTATTTTAACTGCAAGTTAAACCTTAGTTATATTTAGTGGAAAGGAATTTCACGCTCACGATTGCAACTGTAGGCGCCAAGTGCATATTTACGCTCTAACAAAGGTCATTACGCATTCGTTTACACACAAATGGATGACAAGCGGGCAAAAGTACGTTAATGTCGTATAAAGAGGGAAAACTATTATACTTTCCCAACGTTAAAGACAAGGCATACTTTTAACCATTTGTTTGCATGCAAGGAAAGCTAGATAGAATAATTATATTTGAGGAAATTATAAAGTATTTAAACAAAAAAATTATTTTTGAAAAATACAAAAAAATGACCCTCTCGAGGCCGTTCTCACAAAGCATATTGAATTTCAGGGACTCTGCGTCGAAACTAAAAAACAAAATCGTTTTGTCGACATGTCAATAGCAAAAGAAGCACAGAAGAATTTAAAAAATATTGATTGGCGAGTATTTAAATGAGAAAGAAAACGTGCAGTTTCCAATATTCGCCAGTCAGTATTCGACCAAAAACAGCAACCTTTTTTTTTTAATATTTAATGTTTAAATTATCGAAAATTCCCTACGCGTCGCATAAGGGAATGTTATTTTAAAACTATTCGAATGAAAATAAGGAAAATTGTTGGCGTTGTGCTCTGGCCGTGTTGACAAATTCTCCTTGGAGGAAAACGCTTTTAAAATTTTTGAAATTAATGAACATCTTTTCTCTGCTACAATGGGTCTTTTATTATATTTTACTAATAGCTTACAATCTTAGGACAACAAGAATGCCCGTCCATGTACAAAGATTCTTTCTTAGTCATTTTACTTGAAGAGCGTGTTTCTTTTGCTATATCTGTTGCGAAGTAGCAGAGAAGACGGCAAGAATGTTTAAAAGTCTTCGGCTAAAGGGTTTATAATTATTACTATCATTGAGATCTTTCGTATCGGTCTTAATCTCATATTTATTCAATAGAAGTCTGAATGTAAACACTTTCTAAGGATTACGTTAGATAGGATGTCAGACGGGTTAGGACATTGATTTGTAATTTCCCAGAAGGGATTTACATGACATAGGTAGTTTTTTCGGTACGTTTTGGTAAGAACTCGAACTTTGAAGGGAAATATTTCTTTTGGACAATAAACGCCTTTTAAGTAGATTCTAAGAAGTTCAAAGCTTCTATTAAGTCAATAAAAAAGGAAAACCTCCTGTCGAGCACTGGTGCAATTACATATTTTAACAGCAAAATACGCCGTATCAATAAGAAGATAGAAGGATAGACGTATTTAGAAGATTTCGTTATAAAAGAAATTCCGATATTTTTTCTTTTTTAAATTCGCTTGTAATAAAAGAATATTTTATACGCATTTCATAGAGGTACTAAGCCAGTAGGTTGACGATTGTGTATATAAGAAATGAAATTCACTTGCTGGACACTAAGCTATAAATGCAGGTAAACGAATACATACACATGGCAGGTTATTGGCTTTGACAAAAGACGAAATATCACTTTTGTTACAAATAATTTATGTGTTTAAATTCACACACACACACACACACACACACAAACACACACACACTAATGCGACTACAAACACATTTACACCTGAGGTACTAGTCGTAGAACAACAAATGGTTCAAAAACCGTTACCAATAATTTTTCATTTTTGGCAAAAAAAAAAAAAAAGAAAAGTGCAAATTTGTACCTTATCATCAACAGTTCTTAAACGGAATTTTTTTTTGTGCTTATAGATTTCGCTTTCAGGCGTGACTTTTTAAAAAGACTTTTGTTGATTGTGGTATATATATATGTATATAGATTTTTATGGTTTTTTTAATCATACGATTACTTTTTAGTCAAAGACGTTAAGGTTAGATGTGACTTCATGCCCACATACACACACTTCCACATACGCACATATATATATTATGTACATATTGTATGTTCATACGTATGTGTGTATGTTAGTTGTATTTTATCCATACATATATATAATATCTATATATAAGCATACATCCATACATTTGTCCAAACCATCCATACATCAATATACTTATACATATATATATATGTACACATATATTTAGTGGCAGCGTTGTCTGTCTGGAACTAATAGTCCTACGACGCATGCGTGCGTGTGCATATATATATATTAATGTGTATTGGTATACATTCCCTAGATTTCGTAGAAGACAAGAGGCTAGTGGACCCACGTAAGTGTGCACACACAATCTCTTCCGTTTAGATTCCGTTTTAAATATGATATTATTTCACTTACTGCGGTGCGGCACCGGCTGCTAAAAATTCAAAAAATGTCCCAAATATCGGCAACCCTTTTACCCTAGGTATGGTCGCGTGTTGCTTTTCAAAAGGCTGTGCATGTGCTGTGTTTTGTTGAGCTGGACAAAAACGTTCATTGTCGAGTTGTTGTTGGGCGCTTTTACTCTTGATGAATAAACATTTTTTTAAAATAACTACAAAATTAAACAGCGCTAATGTAATCATTCCATAGGCCCATCTTAGGATCCAAAATGTGTTCCTAAACGACGACATTTGAAATATGTATTTAACTTAATTTAATTTAATTTAATATAATTTATTGCACAACGAATTGTCCGTCGTAGGGGACCTTAGGTAATTTCTTTTTCTTTTAATTGTTTTTTGTTATATTAATCGTTATTATCATCCGAAAGAAATAAATTCAATTTAACGCTTCATTAATATGATCTTTAATCGTCGATATGATTCTTTAACAAAAAGCCGGCATTTACATTAATTATTACAAGAACAACATAAACGTTTAGTCTTAGTTCTGCGCAATTTAAACCTTGTATAGATAGGTACCGGCAAACAAAATTAAAAATAGACAATAAATAGATTCAAACGATTGTTTCTTCGCGTTCGTTCTTATTCGTTTGTTTGACGAAAGCTGTAGTTCCCTTCTTGGTTTTTCAATGTTCAACGGTTTAAACAAATCTAAAAACATATCGTAACTTTGTGCCTTTATATGGTGTTTAAAATCAAAGAAAAGAAAAAAAAACACACTCTGAGCTATAGTATCCAACAATGTAATGGATATAACGGCTGAATGTATGTAAATGAGTAAACGGGAGCCGTTAAAGATTAACTGAGCATTGAATTTTGTCTGATTTTTATTTTGTTTTTTTTTTTTTGGTCTTTTCTTCAGCAAGCAGTATAACACACGCATAACTAACTTTAACTTTGCACACATACGCATATATATTTATATATATAATAAGATTTTGTTATTGTTTTTCTCTTTTCTCGCTTTACATTTATAACGGAGCCGGCACAAGAACAAAAATAAGAATAAGAATAACAATAATAAATAATAAACACTTTCCCTGCATGCCATGCTGCTTGTGCTGCTACTGCACTCACTGGCTTCTATGCATACAACTACATCCATGTATATATATACTTAAGCGTCAGATCAATGACGTCAATTACATGCAATCGTGCAGCTTGTAGCTAATCGTTAATAGAAATATGTACTTATTTAAGAGAAAAAGACATTGAAATATTTTTCTCTGTTTACCTATTTGCTTGTTGCAACTTCATCTCAATCGCGTTAAAGTTCGATGGGCCATCAAACTCATTTAGCGGCGTTTTAGTCGTGTCGCAAATATCCATATTAATGCTCTTAAACACGTTGCACAACGGTGGCACACCGAGTTATATATTATAGACTGTGAGAAATGCATTCTCTTAAAACGTTACTCCAGACAGCAATTAAAATTCAATAATCGTCTCTCTGCTTTGAAAAAGAAAGAAAGAGCACTTCGTATTCTCTGATAAAAAAAACTTTTTCAATTTTATTTTAGGGGAAAGTTCGCTTATAAAACGACAGTTATTTATCTTTTATCGAGAGCCGAAAGAGTCTTGCGGACGTCTTGGAGACTCCCACAAGAAATATGATGCCGCCGTTCACCTAACTTTGGCCCGCTGACGCGCTATAGTGGGTTTGCTAATGTGTTTTTTTATGCCTTTGGACGCATATCGTTAGCAGACTTCGAAATTTTTCCATTATGCTCAACTCCAACAAAGGTGTACGAGGTGTTTGTGAAAGTATGCAACACGCAGAGAGCACTTGAAGGAGATCTGAATTTTACAATATCAATTGATTTGGGATAACTTTGCAAATCGATCTAACCTTGTTTGTCCGTCTGTTCGTCTTGCTTTCTTGTGTTTATTCTGCAGTCCATAATTTTTGAGATATTTTCTTGAAATTTGGTACAGTGACTTGTTTTATTCCAAAGACAAAAGCTGTTGAAAAAGTTTCGTATCGGGGCGTTTTTCCACCAATTCCCATATAACGCCTTATTTTGCAAAACAGTTATACTGTACGATAGTGGGCCGTGGGCCGTTGTAATGTTTTTACTTCTTTCACTTTAAAAAGAATAGTAAGACAAGGACGAAAAGTGTTTCGAAAAGAGAGCCTGGTTTAAAAAATCAAAATTTTTAACATCCTTTCTTGGCAAGAATCTCATTCGAATCTTGACTAGAAGATTTCACATTGTTTTTCAAATAGACAAATGATACCACATTTTGAAATTTATTAAATAAGCTTAGAGATAGATTTATAATTTGGTGATTGCTGACCGAAACGGTTAGATCAAATAGTGAACTTTCGATGCTATATAAAATTCGATGGACGTTGGGAATTTTTTTTATTTTTATGTAGTCAGTTTGGGATCGCGGGTTTAAAATATGCGCAATTTATGTTGTACAGGCATGTTTTTTGACTGAGATTGACCAAGTTTCAGCACGAACCTGCATGCATTAACTTTCAATGCTTTCAGCGAATTTGTAGACCATATCGTAAATGATTTTCCGTTTTTTTCAATGTTAAAGATGCTAGAAGCAATAATTAACCGATCCTTAGTGCAAATCTTGAAAAATTTGAAGAAGGTGGTCACATACATTCCTGCCTTGCGTGAGGCAATGGAAACGAAATGAAATCGTTCTATTTTTAAGTACATTCACAACGAGTGAAAAGTTGGTCATATACGATAATAACGTGCGAAAATCTAAAATGAATCAAGCTACACAATCGCTACGAAGTTCAGACTGACCCCATGTCAACTAATGAGTTTTGTTTGATGGGATTAGTCATAAGATGAGTCTTGTATCATGAGCTATTTTAGCGGGGCTGGACGATTGATTACACTTTCTGCTCACTGGTATGATTAAATCGATTATTCCAGGAAATTGGTCAAAATAGATTAACAGGAAAGGCATCGTCTTTTATGGCGAAAATACGACACGAAACTTTAATAATTTGGCAAAAATTGATTGAACTTAGCTGCGAAGTTGAAATGCACCAATCGCAACACTTTTCGAATGTAAAAATGATGAAAGTTCATTTTTTTACCTGGAAGTTCTATAATGGCGTTATAATTTCATCAGAAAAATGACACAGGATTATTACTCAAAATGCCACAAGTATAGTTGATTGCTGTCCGCCATCTTCTTGTGCCGTGGTAGATTCTTCAAGACAGGTTCTTCTCAATCATATATTTCATGAAAGCGTTACAACTTCCACAACCGAAGCCAGAGTTATCTTTCACGCTACGAATCTTTCCCATAAAGACAAACTCAAAACCTTCATTGTTACTGATAGTTTGTCTATATTAAAAGCTGTGCGGAATCCTGCGTCGTCGAGATGGAGCGCCATCAACAAATCAAGAAATATCATTACAACACCCGGCGAAAAAATTAAAATGCTTTGGCTACCAAGTCATATCAGTTTATTGGGAAATGAGCGGCGAAGTATACTTCTTTTGCACCTCTGATTAAGGATGATGTCGTGGAAAAGTTGAGTTCAGATACATTGGAAGAAAAGTTAAATAGAAAATTACAGAAGGAAATCTACAATAGCATCATCAGCTACTACTGTTCTATTAATCCTCAATTAATTCCACTTTGAAATTCAACATATGTTGAAAAAATCAAGATCCGAACATTTTCGAGAATTCGCCTTGGTCATACAATTGCAACTCACCAATGGGTCTTAAAGAAATCTTTCTTCCCAATCTGCAAAAAATGGAAGTGAACAAAGAGAAAATTCGGTACATTTTACAGTTTTTCTTTGACAAAGGCGAAAATGCAAGCCAGGCGGCTAAAATTGTAAATGGTGTTTATAGTTCCGATACTGTAACAGCCAATTATGTGCAATTTTGGTTTCGTAGATTCCGTTCAGGAATTTTTGATGTTAAAGATGCACCTCGCACAGGTAGGCCGGTCGTCGAAAATGTCGATAAAATCGGAGAAATGATCGAAGTTGACCGGCATGTTAGTAGTCGTAACATCGCCCAGGAGCTAAAAATCGACCATAAAACAGTTTTAAACCATTTACACAAAGCTGGATTTAAAAAGAAGCTCGGTGTTTTAACAGAAGCCTTGGCCACACGGAATGAGATAGACCCATTTCTTAAACGGATGGTGACTGAAGATGAGAAATGGATCACATACGATAACACTGTGCGAAAACGATCGTGGTCAAAGAGCGGTGAAGCACCTCAAACGGTGGTCAAACCAGGACTAACGGCCAGGAAGGTTTTGCTATGCATTTGGTGGGACTGGAAGGGGATTATTTATTATAAGTTGCTTCCATATGGCCAAACGCTAAATTCTGATCTCTACTGTCAACAACTGGACCGTTTGAAGATAGCGACCAGAAACGGCCAGAATTGGCCAATACGTGAGGTGTCGTGTTCCACCAGGACAACGCTAGGCCACACAAATCTACAGTGACTCGCCAGAAACTTCGGGAGCTTGGTCGGGAAGTTTTAATGCATCCGCCATACAGTCCGGACTTGGCACCAAGCGACTATCATCTTTTTCTTGCATTGCAAAATTTCTTTAATGATAAAAAAATTGGAATCTAGGGAGGATTGTGAAAATCGACTACTAGAGTTTTTTGCAAATAGAGACCAGGACTTCTATGAGAGAGGCATTTTGAAGTTACCTTTAAAATGGCAACAAATCATACAACAAAACTGTGCATATTTGACCCAAATCGGACAATCCAAAGCATGTTAAATAAAGTCCTGAAGTTCATATAAAAATAATGGATTTCTTTTTCTCCAAAATAATATTACTTTGTTAAAACTACTAGGCTCAATATCTAATGTACTTTTATAAATTAGAGCCGATAGCTTGTGCTGCTAGTGCTCAATGCCTTTTTCTTTTAGTCTAAGAGTTTATTTTATTAGTCTAAAATTACAGTAATAATAATAATAGTATAATGCTAATAATAGTAAAATACAAAAATTTGCTTGAATACTCGTCCAAAAAGCAGGTCTGAACTTTCTCGTTGATCAGTTACACGCTTTATATAGTCTCTGATGTATATTTCTGAGTATTACGACTGATTGTTTTTTGTAATGGCGGATGTATGTCCACAGTATATAACTTTAAAGTCCAATTTAAGAAAGATACAAATTTGACTTTTTTGGTGAGTGTGGACGTCCTTCTGCACCAATTTAATCAATTTTTTAGCTTCTTGTAACGAAAGGATTAAAAAATGTTGGAACTAAATGGGTTCTTCTGGACAACATTTTGAGATTATATTCCTAACAAATAAAGACTTTATTAGACAGACTCCTGCTCGCATTCATGAACAGTGTCAATTCTTTAAAAGGTCTTGAAGCGTTATAAACGCCAGGTTATCTCTGGTACCGTAAAAGACAAAATTTCTTCGAGAGTCTTTAAAAAAAAGTTACAAAAACTGTATTGCGCGATTATGAGTTTCTACCATTTTGATAGCGAGCAACTGGGAATATTCCATTCCATTCACACGACGCCGATATCGTCTCAAATGTATTTTCTTCTTCGTAAAAACTTTTAGAGTTTTACAAGCGCAATTTATTTTGTATGGGAAAAGCCATCAAGGCCTTATCTTACTTCCCGTCAAACAAAAAATGGATAAAAGAGTTGATAGTTAAGACAAACGCTTTGGGTTGTTTTTCAAATTCGGCTTTGTAATCTTACAAGGTAAAAAGTGAGGATACAAAAATAATTATAGTTGGGCATGGCCTACCACATAATGCCCTATTCTATTTCGTTTATTATAACTTATCATTTAATTCTCTGAAAAAACACAAAAAATAAAGTTTTGTCTCCATGTAAAGGTACACATTTCATCAAAGCCATTGTATTGAAGGGAGATGACAACACAATATTCTCATTGAAAATCGTAGTATTCTTCGTTATAAAGTACTAAAGAACATATATTTGTTGTGCCATATGAAGTCTTACTTTTTATGAAAGTCCTTCTACGGGGCATTTTCGCGTCAAAACTCTCTTATGAACAGTAAAGCTTCAAAAATTATAGTATATAGGCTATAGAAAAGCTTACATAGGAGGGTTTACAAACAAAACGGACTTTTTCTTTTCCAATTTTAGTATTAGAATGCGGAAATGCATTATTCAAGGAGTTTGGCTAACAAATTTCGAAAGTGATAAATTTCTTTCATTTCTTTCGTTGCTTTCATGAACACTTTTTTTTTGTTTGTTGACATTGACCAGGCTAAGCCAATAAGGATGACAGAAATGTCCACTCAAAACAATTCTGCAAAATTATTGAAGAGTACAAGTTTTCTTTTTTGCAATTTCAAGAAGTAAGACCATTATAATCGGACAAGGCCGACAGTTAGATGTCCAAAAACATTTTGCTTAATACAATTATTCATCCCTTTTTTTCATAATTGAACAACAGTTACACATTATTTGCATGCAAAGTTATTCTCTTGAAGAAAGCCCGCTCATTGGGGGTATCCTTACATGCGGTGGTATTCAAAAAATAGACCTACATGATCCAAATTCGTTAGGTCGATTTCTATCTCAATTTATTCTTTTTTATGAACTAATTTTCTCCATAAAATGTTCAAAGTTACACTTTTCTACTACATAGAGTTTCAGTTTTCTTAAGAACGGTTGTATGAGAGACGGTTCAAAAAGTTACAACAGTCGAACGCAATTTTTCATACCAATTTAGAATGTCCAAACACATTTTTAAAGCAATTTTTTTTCGAAAAAATTCTAAAAATTGTAATTTTTTCTTTTTAAAATAGGCCTTTATATGTTGAAAAAATGGACCGATAATGTTCGTCCTTGAGTCAAAGCATGTCAATGTACCAAATTTCATCAAAATATTTCAAAAATTGTGACCTGTAGCCTGGATAAAGATTTACATCCATAAATTTTAGACGGAAAGCTAAACAGACAGACAGAAAATGATTTTGAATATCTCGGCATAATAAAAGGCACGTCTATCTTAAGCCATTCTGCTTACTACATACGTTCGCGTAAACTTAATATACCCTTTACCGCTAGTGGTGTAGGCTATAAAAAGCGAACTGCCGCCTGGTGACAGGCACTCGATGATGCATAACCAGGGGAAGGACTTTACTAATTGTGGATATGTCACTTTGTCATTGGAGTAAATAATTGTAGTTCATTTCAAACTACATGTCGGGAAATACTCGCGTCAAGTGTTAGTCGAACAATTCTTATATAAAGGACAACTTTTTATATCCACTACCGAAGGATAACGTTTTGTAAGGACGTTTGCAACTCCAAGAAGTAAGATACAGAAAACCTATAAAATCTATATATTCTCGGTTAGTATAATATTCTGAAGCGTTCTAGAAATATCTGTCTGTCCACGGTGTGTATTCGCAATAGAAGCTAAATTTCCACAATTTTGGCTACAACCTCTTCTGCATTTCCTTTTACGGCTGCAGAGTGGCCATTGCTTTGACAATGTATTCTGTATTTTCATTTGTAGCATTCAGAATTTATGGTTTTCTGAACAAATGTAAAACATATCGCCGGAGTTTCTTTTCTTTCAGCCGGCAGATCTCTACTCCTTCAGCCTCAGTCTCTAAGAAAGTAGTATTTAACAAAATCATTGTACGTCAATCGACAGCATAAGAGGCAAGCAAGAAAATTATATTCGGCTCTGAACGAATCTGTCATACTTACCGTCTTTATCTTAAAAAACATCCAAATAAGATAATATTTTGATAATTGTCTCCCCGTTTTCGTACACGTACAAACTAAAAGAAAATATCTGGAACGAGAACGAGAACGTCTAATGTTTTTGCCAAATTTGAGAAATTAATGGTAATCAAGACTATATAAACTTTATAGAGTGTTTGAAAATTCCTTCACATTCCAACGCATTTTGACAGACAAATATACCACCACTCTTGTGTGGCGGGTAGAAAAATGGCCATTTTTTAGGGCTTACCTAATGAGCTGATAGTATTTGTTTATGCACAAAATTTTAATGGAATGAATATCTGTACATTTTGTAGATAATGTTAACTTATTTGTATGTATTACAGCCGTTTCCAAAATTGTTTGGGTATTCTGTAAGATCATAATTATCAATAACGATAAGAATGCCAAAATTCAATGAACCGGCAGACGGGCATGGCTGAACTGGTACAAAGATGTGGCTGTGTTGACTTACAATCTTACAGTAATCAAAAATGTATATACTTTTTTATTAATCCAATCCATGTCTTTCAATTCTTTAAACGGAACGACAAAGAATAGATAAATCCGCCTACTTCAAAGTTGAGTAGCAAAATAAACGGCAAGGTGATGACTAAGCCGACTTTTGGATATCCAACATTGCGCATGATATATACAAATGCAAGGGTTCGAGTTTTACCTGTCGTAATTGTGTCACTTGCGTTATAAGTGGGTATAAGATTCCTTGTAAACAGACAAAAACACTTCGCTTATAATTTTCATAAATGGTGATACATTTGTTGCGTTTTCTGACTGTTACAAGCGAGACGGCAAAATTCACATAATATTGCAATAGTATGTATCTTAAAAATTAAATTTCAATTATTTAAACATTTTTAAATGCTTGACAAACAGTTGGCCTACATATATATTTGCTCAATTCCAACACGATGTTTGAAAGTTTTCAATATTAATTGTTTTTGCGGACTCAGCTCACGGTAAAATAAGAAGTAGTTGCCTAAAATATTTGTAATTCGAACGACAATTAATTTTATTCTATCAACAATGTAAACCAATATCTTAAACAGAATTATTTATGAAGTTGTGTATGATAGTAGCTGCATGCAAGAGAATAGTGTAACATCCACTTAAATCGGTTACGCTACTTAAGGGATATCCATAATTCGTTTTAATCCTCAATGATATTAAACTCTTTCTCTCTCTCTCTCTCTCTCTCTTTGCGTTAACATTCAAGGCATGTAAAGAGGCTATTATACTGCGAATATTGTGCATAAAAAAGATCTCAACAAAAATTTTCTATAAATTTGCGAGCATTTTAAAAGATGTAGTCAGTTTTACGTGACGGTCTTTTCGACTCGGTTAGTTTTTAATACAAACATTGGTGTTTATTTGATATAAGAACGGTTTGCATTACGGTCTAAGCAAATATTTCGCCAATCGCTTCTAAACGGTTTAATTTTTCTATAAATATATATATATATATATATATATACATGTCCACACATGATCAACGCAATCAATATAATTAATTGTTCTGTTTTTTTTTTTTTTTTTATATATGCAATAATATCAGTTATTAGTCCCATAATTAATAAATACTGCACGCAAGCGAGGTGAAGTAAAGTTTATCGTGCCAATAAAGTTCATGGATAATAGCTTCGAATTAAGAAGTCGCGAATTTTACTTTCTTATTATTATAATAAAACTTTAATGAACCCTCCATAATAGAACACATTATACAACTGTTGTGTGCATTTATTATAAGAGCAAGAGAAAAAAGGAAAGTGTACCTATTTGTGAGCAAATGAACATGTGTTTGCAATGTCTTAAAAAAGAATGAATATAACCAGCGATTTATTCTCTTCAACTTGCGTGTATTTTCTTTAACTTAATAAACCATAAAAGAGAGCCAAGAAGAAGAGTAAAAAAGCATACCTTATGTCTTTTATTTATTTTCTTGCTACTAGATAAATAATCATTCGCGTCTATGTATGTTGAAGTCAATGCAATTCAAATGTTTACGATAAACTATTGCTTTTATAAGAGTGTAAGCGAAAAGAAATTATTTAGTCGTATGGACGGGTAGCAGCAAAGTCAAAAATACAGAAAGAAGAGTATTGGCTTAATAAAAGTATAATTAATTCAAATGAACTGAATAGGACAATTGAATTAAAAACAAATTCTAAAAAAAAGCGTTAAAACAACTTCTTTTATTAGTTGGTACATGTTTTTACTTAATTTTTTTGTTTTCTCACAAGTTAGAATTCAATAATAACAATGAAGGTTTGTGTTCAAGAAACTTTAATGAATTCATTGTTTTTGACTTCTGTCACAATTTAGGTTAAAATACAAGGCCTAGAGCTCTTATAATTAAAAAAAATCCAACACATATGATAAGAAATCTAAATACTGCCGTCATCCCTGCATTTAAATATACATAGCTTTGCAGCTGTTATCACATTTGCAAAACACCATTCAGTGTAGATCCAATAAATTGAAATCTAGTTTTTGTTGAAGAATGTATGAAAAATGATAACTTTTCTACAAGTGCTCTGACGTTTCATTGATTAATTTATATGCATTGCAGCTTTAGCTAATTTACAGTATAATGGATAGCTCAGAGAAACCAAAAAAAGAGAATCCACGTCAGTTTGCTCATATATTGTCACAGCTTACGTTTGGTTGGTCTATACCGTTATTATACCGGGGTTCACGTCAAGGCCTAACTGCAGATGATCTTACCAAATGCCTGCCTGAAGATCTATCTCAAGACTTAGGTGATAAATTGGAAAGGTAAGAATTATTAAAGACTTGAGGTATTACTAAGTTACCCTATGTTCATCGAGAGAATTCTCGTTTAGAGAATAGAAGAAATACCGATTGCAACAAATTTTTTTTCTCCAAGCCATGTATACGGAAGTAATACCTGTGTAGGTACGAGGATCGATAAAAAAATTGGCAAAATTATATGCAAAGCTTCAAATTACACCAGTTTTTATATGGCCCAATGCTTTTGAATGTGAAAATAACACTCAGTCTCAGTCCTTTCCAAGTTGATAAATAGCAGTAAGTAATATATGTCCAATGAATACGAATGTTACGGCATTATATATTTCACTAATATTCAACTTTGTTGAAAATTTGCGTCAAGTTTTCTTAGTAGTCAACAATTCGCTGAATAACAACAAGCGGTTGAATAAAGCAAGCATGATTATTGTATATCTAGGAGAGAGATGGAACGTGCAAAAGATTTTCTTAATAACGGGCAGGATCGCTTTACACTAAATTTTAATACCTTAATTTCTTAACAAAGCCCATCAAACTATGAACTTTACACGTCTTTACTGGATATATATGAGCTCAACAATTAATATTACTTTATGTCCTTATTAACAGAAAATGATATCATGGTGTAGATTGTAAAACAAAAACTTTACAATTAATGTAAAGCAGTAGCTAACCGGATATGCTATGACAGTGCGAAATGCACGCATATACTCAATAGAGATGGATATATTAAAACGAGAGACCTGTCTTCCCATGCCAACTGGCTGAGCTTTCTAATAAACGTAGTGCTGTCTGTTTCAGAAAGTGTATATAATTGTATACAATTGTGATCGCTAAGGTTTTTGAGAAATTACGTTCTTCTTTAATTTGTGTCCTATTTCTTATGTGCATAAAAGGGAAAACAACACGCCTTTGCTTACTAGGTTTAGGCAGGGTGCAGTGGCAGTACCCTTACTGTATAGTATTGATAAGGAATGCCCTACCTAATTGCGGAGATCTTTATGCGGTTTTTATTATATTTAATATTTTTACGGTATCAATTTTTAAAGTGCATTGCACCTTTTCTTACGCTTGACAAATTTATAGCTGCAAAGGAAGCTAATCCACAAAGTAGGCCTGAATGAAGCAATCTCTTATAATGTGATTTTATTTTCGGTTAAGCCGCTACTATCATTTTATTGATTATACAAAACTTTGTATATTATTGTATTTGTTTTCGTTAATACCTAAATTGCCCTTGTTATCGGCCGCATTAATAAAGACCTGAAGCTGTGCACTCAGGCAACTTTTACTAATAGAGTATGAAGGGCGGTCTCTGGAGAATAATGCTAAACTTTTGAAAAAAAAGCAACAAACTGGCGGTCATATGTTTCATTACACTCTGCATCACATATGGAATAAAATGCATGGAGCTTTTACGGTGCAGCATACAAAATGACTTGAGAAAGAACCAACTTTCACCACACCGAATTTATTGCCTACGCTTGTATTTTGGTCTTGAACCGATATGTCACAATTATTATCTAATTTCATACTTTGGCATGCTCTCGCTAGCTAGGACGAATCCTATTGAAAGTAGTGAACTGGACCTACAAAAAAACTTTTACATGAAAAAACTTTCACAAGTTTTTAAGGTTCTTGACAAAAATCGATGGATGAGTAATTTGACGGACCAACTTTCCAAATCTGCTCCTCAAATCTTTATACAACAAGGAGGTTCAATTTTGCATATTTTGATGTAAATTGATTAATAGTAAAAACAGTCCAACTTTTATTACTTAACAACAAATTGAATGAAAAATAGTAAAGTCTTTCAGCATACAATTTTTCTCAATTTGATTATATCAGTTCATGTCTTGAGCGCTAAGGGCTCCCTTGGGAAATATGCCTTTTTGGACCGTTTGTATTACATCAGAAAAGTAAATGACGGATTGTATTAGGCGAAGTGCAGTATGGCGCTGAACAGTCATCTTTGTCCGACTATAATGAGAGCTGACTGTGGGTTCTTTCAAAACTTTACTAGACCTTTCACTTTTTATAAGCAAGCAACCCAATACCAACTAATTTTTTACCATGTAATTAATTGCCGCATTATACACTCATTTATTCGCTAATCCATTATTTCAATCAAGTTTTAAAGGTCCAGTAGCCGAATTGTAGCAGGACAAAAAAATTCATTTATAGAAATTCTATCGCGAAATTCTGATGTATTCTTGTGGAAAATGCAGAATATACTTTGAGAACACGTTCTCCTTTCAGACATATAGGACAACAGCTATCACATATATTAGGCTCAGAAAACAATCACGTATTTTAAAGCTAGTAATTCGGATAACGCCACTCTCTGCCTTCACTCTGCAGACAAAGCCATAATTTTGTTAATGTAGAGGTTACTATTGATCATTTCCTCTCGTGTTTAAGCATTTAGCCCCAATACATTGAATTTCTTGTAAATTAGCCGCATGTAGTATGCTGGCCGCGAGGTGCGACACTATATTAATGTTGCTCGGTGCTTCGAACTCTTGTATTGGCATACATAACAAAACCGCACAAATTTACATAATGTGAACAGTTTTACGCTTACAGTTACAATAAAAGACAACAGAAGGTCCTGCCGCCCACCGAGAAAGAACTCATTCATTGAACATTACGTTTGTTATTAGTCCACTTACATTGCTTGTTAAAGTTAATACATCATAACACATATATTACAATCATGCTTAGCTTAGAGTTTATTTAGTCATTTGCAATAAACGCGGAAATATTCATTTATATTCAAACATCGTAATTAATTACATTACTATCATAAATATGAACGGAACATCCTTAAAATAATTATAATTAAGATCATAATAATACATAAATGTTAGATAATATAGGATAAATTTCTTTTCTTCTTCTTTTTAATTACTACTTAGTTGAGGTATTCGTGTTGGTGATATAAAAACTATGAAAAATTTTAAAGCCCGTCCCACCTTATCGCATAAAGTCAGAATGGGCACCAGAAGGAGTGAAAGTAAGCATTGCCGTAAATAATTGAAATTGTAAGCACGTTCCTAGAAATGGCTTTATAACCTCCTGGCATTGTCTTTTCCCTTAAGTAACGCCTTCTTTGACTTTTCTCTCAAGCTAAAGTGTGGAGGTGAAAAATCTGTATTAAAACTGTTTTTTTTCATAGTAACTGTTTGAAATAACGCTTTTGACATCATCCAAAGAATTGATATATACTTGATACTATAGCCAAACAATTCCTTCTAACAATCCTTGTATGTAACCTGCCAAATGTGTACAAAAAATTGTTGCTTCATTTTATCGACCACATACACTGCCTCTTCAGATTGTATTTTCTTTGCATAATAAACATTTCCTTTCTAATTTTGGCTAAGGCTAATAAACAAATGAACAAATGTCCCGTTTATTTAGTAAATGAACGTTACAACGATCAGAAAGTTTACATTCACGAGCTTACTAACACAGAGGTTAGAAACTTTAGCGATTGGAACGTTGAGTTCCCAATTTAACTTTTTCTTGAAAAATAAATTTCGTCTCAAGGGCATCGTTTCGTCAAATAAGGTTTGATAAAAATCGGATTCTTGATTGTTTAGCCAAATGGTCTGCGTCGTACCTATTTAATCGCACACAAAGAGTAGTCCTTATGTTGTGTCACAAGGCAGTTCCTAGTGTTCCTGATGTCGTTTAGCATAGTAATATTTTAATATTTGCAGATGATGTTAAGCTATTGCACTCTATTCGTTGATTACTTCTACGCAGTTGGACATGTGGTATCGTACATTGATCTTGGAGTTTCACTCGATCAAAAAATGAACTTTAAACCTTATATGTACTCAATTGTAAATAAAGCGAAATACTCGTTGAGCTTTATAAAAAAGATTGTCAAAGCCCTTTGATACACGCAACATTACAAAGAGTTTGAATTTTTTGCTTTTAAGACCTATTCTAGAGCACGCGCCAGCTGCATATATTTCGATTCCTTCCTTTTGCCTTGCTTGGACCAAGATGTGTTACATCGTCACCACTTCTGCCCTATGAAAATCAGGTACCTTTCCTGGGCAATACGTTCCAAGAACGCCCTCTCAATACTGCACAAATTCGAAACTCTTTTCGCAGTTTCGCTTAGGTTGTAAAAACTTGAACTACTTTTATACGCACATTTCATTTTCTTATACGGTAACCTCCTTTAAAAGAAACTTTTCAGTTGTGCACCTATATACATTTGCTTATATGCAGTTATAGGGCTAATTGTATATATTAACGGTAGGATTAATGTTGAGAAAGCATCAGCATCCTTGATATATTGTCTGTCAGTTTAAATGTGTATTAAAATTTTCACATCTTTATTTTTCTTAACTGTTTTTTTGAATTTACACACGTTGAATTATACTTTCATTTATGTAAATTTCATTATGTATATTTAGTAAATAAGTAAACAAGTAAGTAATGAGCAAAAATTTAATATAGTAAAGCTGAATAAAAACCTTTAAAGAATGCAAAAAAGTTCTGAAAAATTAATTTTTTTTTTTTAAATTTTAAAACATTCTACATACTTTTGAAGGTTGCCTATCTACGCCTAAAGTTTTTTTGTTTAATTAAAGCAAAGTTGGAAATTATCAGCTAAAAAATTTATTTCAGGCATATAATAGTCGATTAAAATCGTTCTTAAATTATTTGAACAAAATCGGTGAATAATGATATCAACAAATACATGCAAAAGTTCCTTTGACATTTAAAAGTCGAGGTAACCGCGTGTTAAAAGTAAACGGATTTGTTTGAGGAAAAAGCGAAAAATATTTGAGAAAAATAAGAAGAAATAACTATTGCTATCTGCATGCAGAGTAAGTTAAAACGATTTCGATGCCTTCGCGTTTCGATAGAAAAGAAATAAAATGTTTTATCATAGCTCCGATCTACGTACGCACAATTGTACATAAAGTTATGACTTTTAATATACGCAAATGGATTGTGTTTTTCAGTGCCCAATATTATCA